ACTATCTATTGATTACGAATGACGAGTCACTGATCATTTATACGCCAGGCGAGCACGGGATGGCGGCCCCTCTCATTGGAAATGCACCGGTGATTTTGGCACGGGTGTTTATTTCAAATTTATAATATAAGCAGTCCTGACCTGTCCTATCAAAAATATGTTTGCTTTTCTTGGCAGCAATGACAGCAGGGTTGCACAGAAGCATATACGCATTTAAGCACGTCCCTTATTATAGGGAAAATTTAACGGAGAAAAGTAATTAAGGTAAATTAACGTAAAATTCTTTTGTAAAAAAAAAAAAAAAAAATTCTGCCATATAAGTGCACACGTTAGTACTTTAATGATTGTGTTGTTACCCATGAAGCGCGCGAGAAAGACCTTCTTGAGAAAAAATGTGAAGCAGATACTTTTATAAATATATTAATTAATTCATTTATGTATTTTCCGTGTTCACAAACATAACAAACAAATTATCGTTGTCCTATATATTTATGCATAATTGCGCATGGAATACCTACTATCAATGACACATTCATAGTAATAAATGATAATGTAGTGATTGCGCAGGCGAGCTGGTGGATGTTAACCATTTTGTTCTTAGCCCGAGACTGAGGCAGGAAAAGAGGAAAGTTTCAAAGTAGAATAAAAATGAACAGTCGAGGACACGTCCTCGACTGTTCATTTTTATTCTACTTTGAAACTTTCCTCTTTTCCTGCCTCAGTCTCGGGCTAAGAACAAAATGGTTAACAGTCATAGTGTCACTAAATCTTAGTTCTGTGGAGATGCCAAAACGGTATTCGGTCATATATTCCGAAACCGTTCGTAAAATCAAAAACAGAATTAAAATAAAAAAAAAATTATGGCAGCGCTACTCTTCCTAGGCCCCATCGTTCGCAAGGCATCCGTTCTAAAGTTCCGGGAAGCTTGATCGTGGGCAAAACGATCTTGTTGCTTTCAAGGTTGGAGGTTTCGCGCGCAGAAAGTGATGTCAGGCGAAAACAGGCCGGAAATTGATTGTAGAGGTGAGCTCTTATTTCGTTCATCTCTAAGTTGACAATGCGGTGAAGCTAAGCGTTAGCCAACCATTCAGTGGTCTGACTCCTATCGCTTGATTTCGCTCGCCTCGCGTGTGTATGCGGAGAAGGGGTGATCACGTGGTGCGAGACTGACAGTCAAACGGTCTAAAAAGCACGTAGTTTCCACCGCGCTGTCAGCTTACGGGGGATAAAGTCCCCGATCCATGACTAAAGGCTTTGTGTGGCAACTGAGGACATCGTGTGCGTCCGAAGGCGGTAATCCAGGGAATCCGGACTCAACGGGCGCCTCGCTCGTTCCTTGCGCACCTTGCACCCAGCTTGCACTAATGCTCCATACAAAAAAAAAAAAAAAAAAAAAAAAAAAGATAAGAAAAAAATATTAACGAACTTTAGTGTCCGCAGCATGCCCATTCCACACCATCTTTTTTGTGTTTATTTATTTGTTTTTCGAAGTTTTTTTTTTAAGTTTTTTCGTGAAACTATTTGCGTCGTAAAAGAGCTGGTTGGTCGGTGCTGGTTTGTTGTCGATTCGGTAACTAACAAACACAGGAGACCAAATTAAAGTTCACAATATTTCCACATCATGACTTTCAGCTGGCTGGATTGGTACCAAGACGAAGCTTATAAGTAAATTTGGCTGTCTCTAAAAGACAAATTTATTTATCTTCTAAATTCCTCTAAATTTATTTACTCTCTAATTTCCTCTGGGTCCTCTAAATTTCCGCTTGCGACACTTCCCTCACTTCCGAAGCACTTCGATGGTGAAAATTTTTTTTGTAAATCGGATTTCTTTAGCTTACGGATGCGGCAGGCTATGCTTCTCGGGACGCGCTGACCCACGTCTTCTGTACAGCCCATTTAGGGCCTTCGGATTGCACTCCAATGCGTGCTTAGAGTGTCATTGGACGTGGGCACTTGAACGCTTGGCAAGAGTACCACGGCACTCTAGACACAGGCTTTTTCAAAGGCCATGCTAGGTGGAAGAAGCTACCGCTAGTTACAGAACATACAGACAATTTCGCTCATTCATTTCAACTGAGCTTCTGTCGTCCGTGTTTCGTACCTCGGGGACATTGAACATAAGAAGCTTAGCATACTTTTTAACGTATCGTAGGGCGACATAGAGCAGTCTACGTTCTTCCCAAAATAATTGAGCTATCGCTTGCTGAGTAGAATCAACTGAACGTAAGGTGAACCCGTCAATGGCAGTTTAAATGTGGCTCTGTTGGACAGCGAAATAAGACTTCTGTAATACACACTAATGTATCTATATTTAAAGCCAGTGAGATCCGTACCACAAATATCGATATCCGGAATGCTACACGGTGCTTCCGCTGTACATTAGGAACTGTTTGATGAACAGCGGAAAAGAGCAGCGATCTTGAATGTTCCCTTATATCGAAAACCTTCCTGTCAAGGGAGCTTCGGAGAGCGAGGTTAAAACAGTTAAAGGATGTAGCAAACTGTGCAGAGTTAAAGGTTTAACCCCCCAGAGCTTTTCTTGAACAGAGCAGAAGACTGATCGACTCCCGCGCTTCGGAAAATAAGATGTAAAGATTGAAAAAAGGTAGTAGTCAAGCCAGGTTTATTTAATGACTCAAAAAAAGACCGCATAACAAGTTTGGAAATCATCGCTAACAACTTTTCCAAACGCTCTGGCTCCGTCGTTTATTTTCTCCACGGCGGTGAAAATAAGGGAGCCCCTAGTGTCACGTACCATAAACCTGGCTTGCCGCCATGTATAGGTTTTTTAAACCTATACATGGCTTCGAAACGAACGCCGTGTTTAGGGCGACGCTTTATGAAATGGTCGTCACGTGGCGTATGCAATAGACCGCGCGAAGCCGACCTCTTCTGTCACGGAGGGAGGTTTTCCTCTTTGCTTGCTTTTAATGCGAATGTGGAAAAAATACTTTTTTTATACATATACCTGTTCCTACGATCAGTGAGGTCGGGCTCAGCAGTAACTTGAAACGACCCCCCAAAAATATAACAATGCCCCAAAAACATCTCTGGGCTACATAACAACCCTAGGCACTTATGTAACGAAACATAATCGCACACGCGCGTCAGCATCCGCTCATACACCCGTTTACACACTGATCTATATGTTTATTGTTTAATATATCTGTCTAGCAAAAACATTAATTGCCTATTGCTTGGATAAAGGAGTGTCTCCCGCTCCAATGATCTTCCTGCCGCAGGTAATAATTAAGTTAATAAATACTGAAATATAAACCCGTCAAGGCAGGCTGTACCAACGCATTTATTAAAACATCCTTGCCCCATCTCCCCCCCCCCCCCCCCAAAAAAAAAGGAAGAATAAAAAAAAAAAAAAAAAAAGAAAAGCGGATAGGAAAAAAAGGTTTCCCCGAGAAAACGAAAAAAATACCTGCGCCGAACAGCGTCGAACTTGCGCCGAATAGAGTAACTGTATAGGCTCTGCTTGCAGAGCCAGAGTATCGCGTTCCTTTTCCTTTCGCCGCCATCTCCGTATTGGCGGAGGAGTAGTCACGTGGGCAGAACTGGATCCGACCTTCGTGCGGGAAAGCGGCCTTCCAGAGCGCCGAGTTTCGGGGGAACATATTTTCCGCTTTGAGTTCGCCAAATATAGATCCTAGACTAAAATCGAACGAAGCGAAAGCTTCCTAAGTCATTGAAGATTATGTGCGTCAACTGGGTACAATACAATCCTGTTTTTTTTATAACGCGGGCGATGTTTTAGGACATCCGTTTCCAAGGTATGGGAAGCAGACGACACGGACGACGATCGCGTTGCTCGCGTCTGCGGCTCTCGCGGAGTGATACACGATACGCGACCGGCACATCCGGCCATCTTGGCGAGTCGGCGAGCTCTCGTGCCAAAGCGAGGGGACGGCGTTTTCGTCAGCCGCTGCGTCGTTTACCGCAATGAATTTATGACTTCACTTCACACGCGACCCGCAGGATCCGCGGGTGCGATTTTTGCAATCGAGAGGGAAACAGGAAACCACGGGACAACGATGACGGCGCCTGCGCGCCGCGCGGCTCGTCGCCGCACGCCGCACTATTTTCCTTACCCAACGCGCCGCAGCACGCCACAGCACGCCGCCTCGCGTCTGCGCCTTCGCGCACGTTCGCGTCCCCTGCAAAAACCGACCGTGGCTTCCCGCAGTGCTTGGCTCCAGAATGGCACCATTGCGGTACTCTGCTCCGCAAGCGGAGCATATACAGTTACTCTAGCGCCGAACCCATAGCGGCGCCATCTATCGACAGCCCGTGATATCGCAAGGAGAAACTAACTCTCGTTACAGTTACTCTCGAGGTCGAGGGAGGGTTAAGGTAGAGTATCATCGAAAGAAGCGGTCGGTAAAGAGTAACTTCCATGCAGATAGAGTTAAAGGAGAGTAAGTTAGGGCACTTACTCTCCCTTGACACCTTTTTTTTTTAGAGTGTGTTGTCGGCAAATATTGTGCGCTAACTGGGGCTTAGCGTAACTGCAGTTAAGTGTGCCCGTGTAACAAGGGTATTAAAGTGAAACGGAGTATAGTTTTTACATTGGCCAGTATTACGCGATTCTAGAAATTATAAGGCGCGCACACTTTTTGCGTCCGTAAATCTCTGGGAGTCAGACCACCAGCCCATGCCGGTTGCCAACTCCGCCACAATAGCGTTACTGAATGCTAGTGTTGCCCCTGATTTGAGCTTTAATATTCATATTTTACATTTGATATAATAGGCCAAATGACCCTTTTTTGTAATAAACCAATCAGTCAGCCTTATTTATAAAATATATTCATCGGTAAAAGAAGTTTACAAAATACGGCGTACGGATTGATTGTTCCCACGTTTTCTTCAACAGAAAATGAAAACGTTTAAGGCTAATGCCATTTAGGAATCGTAAGCACAACTTACAGAACGAGCGAATAATTATACTGCCGCTTTTGTAAGCGGAAGGCAGTAGCGGGCATGTGTCCAGTTTTATGCGGGGGCTATATTTAAAACCCCTCCTCTTGTCTAACTCTCCGCAGTGTCCCTGCCTGAAAAGCCACGTGCCATCCCCGATGCCTTCCCCGGAAGACGTTCACCAGCTTCGCTGCTTCAACTCGTCGGATTCCCCAAGCCGCCCCATGGGCACAGTGTCCAACCTCAAGCTCCACGTGGGGCGGCTTTTCAAGCCCACGACACACGGGTCCGCGCCTAGCCCGTCACCCCCGTCCAGCCAGACCTCCATCCCACCCTGGAATCCGGCGCGCCGCATCGTCACCTTCGTTTGTCTCGTGTCCCTCATCTGCACCGCCATCATCGTCGCCGTGGTCGTTGCCGCCGTGCTCCTCTCGAAGCACGTCATGCAAGCGCCCAGACCGCAGCGCTACCGAAAACTTCAGTTCAACGCCGCCGTAGAAGTGGTGCCCAAACCGCAGAACCTCGTGGACAGAACCAACACCATCGTGGTCCACCGGAAGAGTCCGGCGGCCTGGCAGTCCCAGTCCCGCCAGCTCCAGAGTCTCCTAGACAGCTACAGGACCAAGGGTCCCTGCGATCCAGGAGGCGCCTGCTCTTTTCCCGTTGGCCTGGTGAGCGAGAACTGCAGCGCCACCGACCACTTCGGCTATAGGACCGGTGCTCCTTGCGTGGCACTGGTGTTCCGGAAGGTGCAGGACTGGACGCCACAGCCGTTCACGAAAGAAGACCTTGCCTCCCCGACGGTACCGGAGGATGTTCGGGCCGGGTATGATCCGGGGTTGCTCTTCGTGAGCTGCAAGAGCGAGCACATCAACAGGGACATTGACATCCGCTACTCGCCGTACCACGGGTTTCCGGTGCGGTTTTTCCCGGCCAGGGAGGGACGACTACCCCCGCTCCTCATGCTGCACTTTCCCAATCCGCCGCTCAAGACCGAGGTCTGGGTGACTTGCCGCTTCTGGGCTAAGAACCTGGATCAGACCGGTAACGGCAAGCTGACTTTCAAGTTGTTTGTCATGTGAGTCGCCCGAACGCTGTGCCTCAGAGTGGCGTGTTTGACCACGGTGATCACCTGACTCCTTGACCGGCAACCGATGCGAGTCTGGGTCTCAAGAGACAATGAATGCTCGTGTCAACGCATTCTGTAAAACAAATATGCTGATGGACTGTGCCGAATCGCTCCTGACTCGGAGCCTCTGTTTACCATTAGAACTCTCAGTGCTCAAATATGTCACGCAACTTGTTCAAGTCGTGTGCGGCAAGGTGTTGTCTAAATGCCTGTGTTTTCAAGACTAGCATTTTACTCTCACACCTCCGTGGGATTCATTATCAGTGTCCCTACTTTCGTTTGTTGAATAATAGCGCGTAACTGAGGTGAACAAGAAAAAACTAGGGTCATATTTTTCTCGGGTAGTAGCTCGGGATTCATAACCGTAAAAGCTGCAGTGAAGTGAAATATTGATCATGCAGTAGTTGCAGTTTTACACCAGCATGCAGTGGCACACTGCCGATGGTCAATGTATTGGCGGCAGTCAGCCATCAGACACAATTTATTCACTTTCATTCAAATCTTAAGCCTGATCCCCATGGTGCGATTTCGCCTCCGATTTTGCAGCTTTGGTGTTCAGTATCACAACTTTCCTCGCGTTTTTTTTTTTTTTTTTCAGCATGAGCGACATCGAAATAGCGAAATCTCAGGCAATATCGCACCATGTGATATTTTTGTTTCTGAACTTTATAGCATTGCGGACCTCGCTCCAGCTATATGTACCAAACCGATGTGAATTGACAATGTGTTCAAAGGTATTTATATGAATCTGCTTTACATTATGGAGTGTACTAATTCTTGTATACTGCTTAGTTATTTAATATATGTGAATTTGTTACGTGTGTTGAAGCATAAGTTATTAATGACGGAGATCTTGTACATACGGAATATTTTTATACATGTTGGGTGCTATCAATGTTGTTGTAATTTTGACATCAGATCGTGGCAACTATTTTTGGCTAATGATAGCGCCGCGAACGCTCGCATATTCCGGTCATACAAGAAGAAATGAAAACTTACATCGTAATTAAATTGAGCTTTCCGACTCTCGACGATCAGCTAACCATTGGGTCATTCATATGCGCACACTAGAGTTAACTTTGCTTAAAGAAGGCTATTATCAAAGTTCAAACTTTTCCAGACGTCAAATTGTCTGTCATCGCCGCCACAGCTTTTCGCCTCCCTGTCTTGTCCTGATCTGGTGAGCGTACCCTAGGAACACTTGCTAAAATTTAGCTCAAACTCCTCTTCTGCTGGTCATAACTTATGAAATAATTGGCTATCATCGCTGTAATACGTTAGCTGCCCGAGGTTACCAGTCGTACCGCACTGACCAAATTCCATTTGACAGCGGAGAGGGGTCATCTTATGTCATGGCGCGATTCCCTCTGTGAATAGCGACACGACTACTTTGACTTTTCCATCTTAAGTATTGTCCGTCTTATCGCACGATAAGAATCTACTCACGTAATTGTACTGCAATATGGAGCACTGACGTCCGGTTAATACCCACATCCGGTATACCACACTTAATCATTACTTGGCGAGCTACGAGAAATGGAGCCCCGGGGTCCAATTTCGACCACCGCCAGAGCGAGATCTAATTTTCCTCTCCCGGAGCTGGCGAAGATAGCGTTCGTGGACGGTTTCGTGTGCTAACGAGAGCGAAGAACGCAGTTCGTCTGCTACTAAGCCTCATTCGCAGGCTGAAATAAATCGAGAAAACATTGTACGTCGTCTGCTCATAGACCCGAGCTCTGCGGTGTCGTGAGATCAGTCGCGGGCTGAAGTTGTGCTTTTCTGCTATTTCATGTTGGAAGTCATTGACAACCAACGCTCCCGTCGCAAATCTCAATTTGTTCCGCTGCCGAACATAAGCTGCCATCAACCAATGGATGAAGGAGTATTAGGGGCAATCAGATCGGAGGCCGCGAGACCTCCCTTGGTATGTGCAAGTTGGTGAGACGTTCCCACCAAATAATTTCTGGATTGTGAGCTCACGAACGGGTCAAATATATATAAAAGGTTGATAACGCACAAGTTGTGGCGCCACGTCCGATCAGCAGCCTAGAAGGCTTTCCTTCACACCTTGACAGAAATCGGTCCGCAGGGGTGTTTCCGCCGCTGTTCGTTTCGGAGTGAGGCACTTGAAAACGAACGAAATTACATAAATAGCGGTCACGTTCCTTATTTGGCCAATATTATTGGCTCGCTAAGATCAGCTTCATCCAGCGACAATTGGAAATTTCTGCAGAGTCATTGAAAGTTGGGCACGCAAAGAACAACTTTCTGGATGCAATGTTCGAATGAAATATACGACTCAAGTTATCAAAGTACGTTTTTGCAGACTCTGATAGGCGCCGCCGAATGAAAGTGTTTTCTTTTATATTTATTGTGCGGGTCATTTATTGTATTAAGTATCAATCCCTCCAAACTATTCTTTTTTTAAAGTTTCGCACAGTTTATTTTAGCGTAGTTCAGTGTAGTTTTTACCGAAATGAGACTAACCACGGTATAATCTAATATACTGACATTGAAAGTACCGGAATGCCAGGATCAGCGAAACGTCAAGAGCATTTTTTCTGTGCCCGAATCAGAGGAACGCTTCCGACAATGCTGTTCCAAAATTTCACATCGTCTGCTTTTTTATTATCATGATGTTAGCTAGCCGTACCGTTATTACTATTTTACCGTAATTCCTTAAACAGCACCTCCATATGTTTGTACCTAAAAGTACGCCTTGGAGTCTATAAAAAGGTCTGTCCACTTATCGACCTGCTGCATCCCGCGGGTATTTGGTTGGGCATTCAACTAATCTGGTGTACGAAAATGCAGTCAGTTCCCAGGCAAGCTTGTGGAAGTTCACCATTATGTTTTAACCCAGACTTGGACAGAAGGAGGAAAAAACGTTCACAGTAGTAAAAAAATAAGTCGGAACAGTCAGACCAGCTTAGACACGCTGCCTGAGCCTATTTCTGTTCTACCACTGTCGAAGCTTTTTTCTCCTTCTGCCCCCGCTTCGTGTAAATACATCACGGCCTAATGAACCTCCTTTCAAAACTGATGCTTGGAAGCCTGCTCTGGACATCACATTGAAATCTTTCATATCACT